ACTGAATGAAGAATTACCTGTTTTCTAATAATTTTTTTGGTCAGGGAAGAGAGGTAAGGGTTTTCTCAGTCTCAAGGACATGAGCTCCATCAAAGAAAATGCAGCCAGTAAGAAGGCGAATGCAAGCTGCTTCTGTCCCAAGCTCTTTGAATTGGATCTCTCCTTTTCCTTTGCTTAGGGCCTTCCCCAACCCCATTTAGAAAGTTGCTGTGAATGAAAGTGCCTTTTATCATTTTCTGCTGGGATGTTTTTGGAAACTAGGCTGATCTGCATGTGCTTCTCCATAAAAAGAGAGAAAAGCTGTATCTTTGATGTCATAGGCCTAGAAAATGGCCTTTTTCCTCGTGCTTATTTTGAAAAGCAGTTCTGAAGATCTCATCTGACACATTCACTACAGCGATTCTAGAAAGAGTAAGAAGCTGCCACAGTTGAACCTACCAGTTCTGCCTTTACCCATGCCATGCACTCCTCTACTTCTGAATTTCTAAATTTTCTGTAAGAAATAATTAAAAGCCCTCTTTCTTTCAAGAGCATGATTCCAGCAATATTCTCCTCTTTCTCCTGTATTATTTTTAAATGATCTCTATGGGATCTTTCGTATCAGCATTCAAAGCTGCTTCTCTTTCTTTCATCTGAAAGAAATGTTTTGCTTTCACTTTTCCTTTCAGCTATTGATAGTGCTGTCTTCCAGTTTATGACCATACTTCCTTGAAATGTCATCAAACCTGTATCTTATTTCTTTCATCTCATTTCTTTATTACACTCCTTCATTTTGCCTTCTTCCCCAACACCTCAGTTAAACTGATCTTTTACATTTCACTAGTTGAAATGGCTATGCTAGTCCTCAATTTACATGATTTCTCAACACTATTTGATACATTGGATCTCTCTCTCCTCTTAGAAACTGCTATGGTCTGAAAATGTTGCCCAAAATTCTTATGTTGATAGTTAATTGTGAAAGTGATAATCTTAATAAGTATGACAACAGTAGCCAATATGTAGAGCCATCTCCATATGCAGAATGCAGGTCTGGGAGTCAAGAGGCAGAGGTGTGAGTTGCTCTTCTCATTATTCCTCAGTGATCCATTCGGACAATTTTGAATCCTATCCCTATGAACTAGATTGAGCTCTGAGGGAATGGGTGTCTTTGTGCCCAGTGGATGTTTCCACTAAGGAGCACTGTCACCTTTCAAATCAACTGAAACCTGATAACTGCCTCTGGTCATTTTAGTCTCTTTATGCCATTGAACCAATATGCAGGGAAATGTGTCCCTCTACTTGAAGTGATGGCTCCCAATTTCTACAAAGTTGTTTGGTGTCTGCCATACAATGGAGGTTAAAAAACAAAACAAAAACCACTACTCGTGCAGGGAAGTCTCTAACTGTTTTTTAACCACAAGCCATGGTCAACTAAAAACTGTGACAATGGAATAAATAACAAGACCACAAGGATACAGATCCCACAGGAATAAAGGCATACTTTATACTACCATGTAAAGAATCCAGCTGACACGCTGACACAGGTCAGGATAATAAGCAATGAATTTAATTTTTATGTATGTATTTTTGAGATAGGGTCTCACCTCATTGCTCAGGCTGCAGTACAGTGGAATGATCATGGCTCACTGCAGTCTCAACCTCCCGGGCTTAGGTGATTCTCCTACCTCAGCCTCTCTGGTAGTTGGGACTACAGGCATGTGCCACTAAGCCTTGCTAATTTTTCGTATTTTCTGCAGAGTTAAAATGTCAGCATTTTGCCGAGTCTCATGAAATCCTGAGTTCAAGTGATCTGCCCCACTCAGCCTCCCAAAGTGCTAGGAACACAGGCAGGAGCCCACCGCGCCTGGCCCACTTCCGTGTGTGTGTGTGTGTGTGTGTGTGTGTGTGTGTGTGTTTTAAAGGTTCACTCTCTTCTCCTTTGTGCCTCAAATACTCATTCTGAAGTTTCTGCAGTACGGGGCAAAGGTAGATTATTTCCCAGTACAGGAAAAGTGAAGAGATTTGCTGAATTTGGAGTAGGGAAAGTCAGTGGAAGAATCTCCCACTTCCTTTGTAATTGTTTTCTATCATCTTCCAGGTGCAATGATTGAGGCATTTAAAACTCTTACAGGAATACGTCAAAGTAATAAACATTTTTAGAAAGTCTGTAAATTTTCTCATTTGTCCAAAAAGAAAACACACCCCTTTAAATTTCCTGATGAAATTAAAAGAGCCACCGGCCATGGTGGCCTGTGCCTGTAATTCTGGCACTTTGGGAGGCCAAGGCTGGAAACCGAGGCGGAGGTTGCAGTGAGCTGAGATCGCGCCATTGCACTCCAACCTGGGCAACAAGAAAAAAATTCCGTCTCAAAAAAAAAAAAAAAAAAAAAGCAAAAGAGCAATACCATCTATGCATGGTAAAGTCAGTCTCACAAATACCTTAACGGTGATATTTGTATTCATGTTAATATGTCATAGACATAGAAATACACCACCCAGATCCTCCTTCAAGGAAGGACTTGCAGCCCAGCTGCAGAGAGCACAGTCAGCAGACAAGCACCAGCTTCTTCCGTTGTTTGCCTCAGCTGCAGAGCTCCTCCCCACCCAAGGCGGCCTCCTTCCCCAGGGCAGTCCTCATTCAGTCACCCACAAAAGGGTTAAAAAGGATGGTCTAGAGCCCCTCTGGCCCAATGTGGGCGCAACCTGACAGGCATACTGGCTCCAAAGCTCTCCGCTGGGTTGGTTGAGCATTTTTCTGGCCTGCATCAGTTTGACATTTTCCTCTGCGCAATCCTGTTTCCTTCACCCCTTCACAGATACTGATCCTTAATATAACATTTTGCATCCAAAACGTCATTTCAGCATCTGTTTATGGAGAACCCACGTGTCACTACATTACAATTTCTCTTTATGCATCCCTTGCATTTTATTTTTTAATCGGGCCTCTGTATTAAAGACTAGGAGTACGCAAAGACTGGGAGTAGCAAACAAATCTATGTGTACTGAATTATAAACTATGTTCTCTTAAACCTCTGTGAACTACAGAAAGGTAATACTACTTTTTTTGGTGTTTTTTCTTTTAGGTGGCTTGAATTCATAGAGGAAAAAATAAAGATGTATACATGTAATATTTCAAATAATATATATCCTATCCCCAGAGGGATAGACAGCGTAATGGGGCCCTCCATTTTAGATAGGAGATAAGCGAAAATTACCTCTTTAAATGTGTTACTTGATCGGAGAGGTACACAGACTGACAAAAAGCGAGACAGGTAGCTTTCAGGGGAAGAGGGAATTTAAAGTGCAAAGGCCTTAAGACAGAGAATGTGTTTGGCATTTTGTGGGAATAGACAGAAAGCCTTGAGGCTATAAAATAAAAGCAAGCAAGTAACATCAAGTGGGGGGAGGAGAGAAGGGAAAGTCACAGCGCTTCCTAGGGTAAGTAGATTAATATGGACAAGCAACCAAAAGCAATACCAATCCTGATCCAGTAAATCTGTTAACACAAATTAGCTAGACAGAAAAAGCTATGCAGTACCCTAAGCTACTACAAGAGTGCGTTAATACACGTGTTCCAAAGAAATAGGACTAAGTGTTTACCAACGTGGGATTCAGGAAATTCTGCATCCCATGTTCTCCTGCCATCAGGAACCAATTCTAATGCAAAATGAGTTACTGGATTTTTCGTCACCTGGGTAAAATTACTCTAAAGAGAGTGCTGAAGAATCAAGGCTGCCCTTTCCCAGTACTTTTCAAGGATAGTATTTAAAATTGCAAAATTTGCTTTTAAAGAGTGTTGAGTATATTACATTTTTATGGCTGTTTGACAACACTATTAATGTAGTAGAATTACTACAGTGGAAGCCAGGCCTGATGGCTCACGCCTGTAATCCCAGCACTTTGGGAGGCCGAGGCAGGTGAATCACCTGAGATCAGGAGTTCGAGCAGCCTAGCCAACATGGTGAAACCCAGTCTCTACTTAAAATTGCGTGCCTGTAGTGCCAGGTACCCGGGAGGCCGAGACAGAATGGCTTGAACATGGGAGGTGGAGATCATAGTGACCGAAGATCGCTCCACTGCACTCCAGCCTAGGCGACAGAGCGAGACTATCTCAAAAAGAAAATAAAGAAAACCATTACACTGGAATTAGAATAGATCTGACTTGACGTTTGACTTCACTTGTTGCCCGTGCCGAATAAGCTTCTCCTGTGTATTCTACACTAACTTGAGGGTCTGTTACCTTTCAGTGGGTTTGAGTTGCGGCAGCCCAACCTCGAAAAAAGCGCTGTACAATGTCATCAAGTAATGAGACAAAGACTAAGTGAAATAAACAGAACTGTGCCCAGCTTTCTCTCGGACAGCGTTAAGTGGCTCTGAAAAGAGCCTTTGTTTTTCAGCTTTCACAATCTCACTCCTTACTTGGCCTTATGATGGCTCTCGGTCTTCTTGGGCAGCAGCACGGCCTGGATGTTGGGCAGGACGCCGCCCTGCGCGATGGTGACCTTGCCCAGCAGCTTGTTGAGCTCCTCGTCGTTGCGGATGGCCAGCTGCAGGTGGCGCGGGATGATGCGGGTCTTCTTGTTGTCGCGGGCCGCGTTGCCCGCCAGCTCCAGGATCTCGGCCGTCAGGTACTCCAGCACCGCCGCCAGGTAGACCGGCGCGCCGGCCCCGACCCGCTCGGCGTAGTTGCCCTTGCGGAGCAGGCGGTGCACGCGGCCCACGGGGAACTGGAGCCCGGCCCGGGAGGAGCGGGTCTTGGCCTTGGCGCGGGCTTTGCCGCCTTGCTTTCCACGTCCAGACATAGAGACCAAAACTTAAAGCAGCTAGCGTAATGAAAGCGCCAAAGCAGCGCTTTTTATAAACACTATTCGGCGCGAAAAAGAAGATGTGTCATTGGTTAGGATTGCAGCTTAATTTAACCAATGGGAGTGCGCCTTTTGGACTTCCACCTCCTGATTGGGTATAACTAATATCTGACGTCACCCTGAATACTCACCAATCAGGTACAGGTCTTTAACTCTCCACCTTATTTGCATGAGAGGTCCTATATAAAAACGACTCCTTGTCCCTTGCTTCCATTATTTCCCGTTTCCTCGAACCAGTTGCTCATCGTTTCGTACCTTGGTTCGCTTTCGACATGCCTGAGCCAGCGAAGTCCGCTCCCGCCCCGAAGAAGGGCTCCAAGAAGGCGGTGACCAAGGCGCAGAAGAAGGACGGCAAGAAGCGCAAGCGCAGCCGCAAGGAGAGCTACTCCGTGTACGTGTACAAGGTGCTGAAGCAGGTCCACCCCGACACCGGCATCTCCTCCAAGGCCATGGGCATCATGAACTCCTTCGTCAACGACATCTTCGAGCGCATCGCGGGCGAGGCTTCCCGCCTGGCGCATTACAACAAGCGCTCGACCATCACCTCCAGGGAGATCCAGACGGCCGTGCGCCTGCTGCTGCCCGGGGAGCTGGCCAAGCACGCCGTGTCCGAGGGCACCAAGGCCGTCACCAAGTACACCAGCGCTAAGTAAACTTGCCAAGTAAGCGTCTTAAAGCCCAACCCAAAGGCTCTTTTAAGAGCCACTTAAATTGCCGGTATTAGAGCTGCACACACGTGTTTCTAATCCAGGTTTAAATTCGAGCGGTCTCTTTAAAGGGATTATCATGACCTCCTTACGCTGAGTAAAGCGTACAGTGCTTGTAATGGAGTCGGGCTGAAGTGAAGGCACATGCACTTTGCTAGCACTGGGTGGGGAATATGGCGGCTAAAAAATCGGGGATGTGCAGGAAACTTGTTAACAGAAAGTGCTTCCTGGCTCTTGGCGCGAAAATAGATACTTCCGTTGCGTCGAGTGCTGTGGCTTCCTGTTGGGACTTGTTGAAAGCCTATTGTGTCACGTGTACTTTCCACCATTTAAAGGAATTCTAACTTGGTTTTAGAAGTAAAGTTGGTCCCCAATAATCTTCCAGAATGTATGGTTTTCACTCTGCAGTTACCTTATTTTTCTAATTTCTTGTTTTGGACAACAGTTGCTGTTTCCCAGGCTGGAGTGCAGTGGCGCGGTCTCGCCTCTGCAACCTCCGCCTCCCGGGTTCAAGCGATTTTCCTGCCTCAGCCTCCCGAGTAGCTGGGACCAGAGGCGCGCCACCAGCCTGGCCAGTTTTTTGTATTTTTAGTCGTTTCACCGTATTGGCCAGAATGGTCTCGATCTCCTAACCTCGAGGTCTGCCAGCCTCGGCTTCCCAAAGTGCTGGGATTACAGCCGTTAGTCACCGTGCCCGGCCTAGCAGTTACCTTATTTAAACCCTTCTAGGCTGTACCCGGTTTTGTGTGGTTTGCCTTCCCCTCCCCTTCATTTCCATCTCTCCAGCCTACAAGACATCGAGAAAATGCCCGACCACCAAGCAGCATAGTCTGCAAGGGTGAGAGGAGGAGCATACCTTTTCTCACGAGTGAAGAAAAGGAACTTGAGAGATCACGGAGATTTTTGGAATAGTTTTAGTAGTTTTTAAAACATGTTCAGCGTTCATTGGTTGAATCAGTAATTTTTCTTTTTGACAAGAAACCTGTAGAACTTTGAAAAGGAAAAGCAACTGGATTCAGAGGGGAAGACAGACTGATACTAGAGACAGACCCCCGGGAGCAGAAGTTTGAGTAGAGAGGAAAGGAACTGGCCCAGGCTCAAGATCTGAGCAGAGTTAGGTGGGTGAGTTTTATTGTGTGAAGGTTAGAATGGCTATTTATGCCGGTGACACGCAGTGTGAAACATTTTGGAAGAATGGAGTGAAAGGAAAGGTCCAGGAATTTTAATCTAGGTTGTCACCTGGCTAAATTTGTGATTTAGAAATGTAAGCCAGTTTCACAGGGAAATTTTCAATGTATATGCCTGTGTACATATATTTATCATATTTGGTCACACATTGTTCTAATCCGGGGATATTGTCCACCCTTTGAAGTGCATTTGGAGATTAGCAGAGTCATATTTACACTTCATACATACAAAACATGTTCACTGTTCATCTATGTCATCCTACCAACGATTCTGGTGTTACATTAATATTTAAGATGTTTCAACAAATAATTATATTTAGTTTATATAAGAGGCACTGATCTATACATGCGATATATTGTTTAATCTTAACATAATTCTGTGGGATAGGTATAAACATTTTCAAATGTGAAAAATAAAGTACAACAAAGATGTGGAAGAAACATCTTAACATACCATTTTCAAAGAGAAGCGAGCAAGGACATAGGCAGAGGGAATAAATCAGAAGTAAAGGGAAGTGATGGTATAATTTGAGTTTCCTGTAGAAGTCTCCCTCGCAGGACATTCTTCAGTCACTTTTCTGCCCTTGACTTAATTTTCATAGACAGTAAAAATTGAATTCCTTGGCTGATTTTAAATAGCTGACAGAAAATTGTGGCAGTATAGTGCCTCTCTGCCTATTCAGAGTTTAATTAATTTAGTTATTTTAGAGATGAGGTCTCACTCTTGCCCAAGCTGGAGTGCAGTGGCATAATCCCATTGCAACCTCTGTCTCCTGGGTTCAAGTGATTCTCCTGCCTCAGCCTCCTGAGTAGCTGAGATTATAGGCGTGTAACACACGCCCGCCTAATTTTTGTAGTTTTAGTAGATGGAATTTCATCATATTGGCAAGGCTGGTCTCGAACTCCAGACCTCAGCTGATCCACTTACCTTGTCCTCCCAAAGTGCTGGGATTACAGGGGTGAGCTACTGCCCCCGGCTTAGATTTTTTTATTTTTTTGAGACGGAGTCTCGCTGTATCGCCAGGCTGGAGTGCAGTGGCGCCATCTCGGCTCAATGAAAGTTCCGTTTTCCGGTTTCAAGCAATTCTCCTGCCTCAGCCTCCACAGTTGCTGGGACTACAGGCATGCACCACCACGCCTGGCTAATTTTGTGTGTGTGTGTGTGTGTGTGTGTGTGTGTGTGTTTTTAGTAGAGACAGGGTTTCACCATGTTGGCCAAGATGGTCACGATCTCTTGACCTCAAGATCTGCCCACTTCGGCCACCCAAAGTGCTGGGATTGCAGGCGTGAGCCACCACACCCGGCCGATGTTATTTTTTAAAAGTTGAGAAGTTTAAGAAAAAAAATCCTAGCATACATTTTCTTCAAGTATTCTAGGCTCCAGCAACGCAGGACTTTTGGTAGTGTGTCTAAAGTACACCATGCCGGGACAGGCACAGTGGCTCACGCCTTTAATCCCATCATTTTGGGAGGCTGAGGTGGGTGAATTATGAGGTCAGGAGTTCGAGACCAGCCTGGCCAAGCCGATGAAACCCTGTCTCTACTAAAAATGCAAAAAATTAGTTAGGTGTGTGGTGGCAGATGCCTGTAATCTCAGCTACTCCAGAGGTTGAGACAGGAGAATCACTTGAACCCGGGAGGTGAAGGTCGAAGTGGGCTGAGATCTCACCATTGCACTCTAGCTTGGGTTCTATCCTCCTGGAAGAATAAAAATTAAAGAAAAAGTTAAAGGTTTGGGTCATAGTGTATAACATTTGTGAATTCGTTATTTGATTTGGCCTCTATTTTGCCATTTTCAAATAAGGGTAATAAAATCTTATCTAACAAGAATATGAGACAGGAGATAATCCATGTAAAGTGCTTAACACAAGTTTCAACAAACTTTCAGTGTATCTTGGGCATTATTTTCCTCTTTCTTTCACCTTTTCTTTTGTCCCTCTTGTAATACTTCGGAAATTTTAGGTATCCTGTTAATCATTGCTTTTTTAGAGAGTTAGATCAATATTTTATCACATCGACCCTTGGCTTGCTCCTAATGCTACTCTTAGAGCTATTTCAGAAAAGCCTTACTATCCAATTCAAGCCAAATCGGGAAATAAGCAGCCTAATTATTTTTTTTCAGATTGATACCTGCAGCTTCTGGGGAGAGTGGAAGGCAGATAATTCCTATATGAAAAGGCAGCATTCAAAAACTATAAAAAAGTATAAATTCAACATTATTAAACTTTTGTAGGTCAAAAGGTATTGCAAACACTTGAAAATGAACCCACAAGGTGACAGAACAAATTTGTCACTTACTGACAAAAAGTTAAACCTCAAATATATAAACAGTACTTAGTGGAGAGAATCTGAATAGACCATTCCCAGAAAAGTGGGAAAATCTCCAAATAACCAACAATCTCATTTAAAAAAAAAAAAAAAAAAAAAAAAAAATCTGACATTGGCAAATGCTGATGAACAAGAACTCTCAAGCATGACTGGTGGAATATGAGAGTGTAAATTTAAAATGCTACCCTGGAAAGCAAATTGTTCAATTTTATTGATGTTGAATATGCACATACTCTTACCAAACAATCCCACTTCCATGGAATTCCAGAAAATGCACAGCTGTGTACAGTGCTGTACTGTTTTGTAATGAGGAAAAGAAAAAATAACAAATGAATAAAGTATTTACTGACACATTAGAAAACTAGATTAATGGTGAAAATAAACTAAAACTGCACATTTCAACATGGATATATTTCAAAAACAAATGTAAAAGAAATTCATGGAGATGTTTAAAATAGGTTAGGTGTATGCACATCTAAAGTTAAAAATAAAACACAGGGAACAAAAAATGCCAAATTCAGAATATTAGTTAATTCTAGAATGGTGGAAAAGAAAGGCTGTGCTGCTGAGAAGGGACATAAGGAGGGGTTTTAACTGCACTTGTTGAATTAGTGTGGTCACTAGCACGTTCTGTATACCTGATAAATTTCCAGTATTTAAAGAAACCAGAAGGCAAACATATAAAGGAGGTAGCTATTACCACTGAGAGTAAAACTGCCGACTGTGTTCAACAGTAGTAAAGTATGGTCTGTCCCCAGTGCGCAGAGCTCTGTGCCACCCAAGTCCTCTTAAACCAGCCACCATGAAGTTTTCCTAGAGGCTCCAGCCTTTAATGGAGCCCCTCAAACCCCTCATCTCCTCCCGAGACATTTGGAGGTCCAGAGGAAAGTTACGTGTTTAGACTGGCCTTAATTTAGACTCCAAACTCCTTGACTTTTTAGATGAATCCGAGCTTTACTGCAGGCAACTTCCAAGCAGCCGCCAGAAGTTAATGGCCAGCAGAGGCTCTTCTAGCCTTGGAAAATCTTGGCCCAGGGTCGCCTGCCCATTTTCAACATCCCTTGTAAAGCAGGATGGGAGAACTGTGACAATGGCTCTATTCAGAAACTCAGTTTGCAGTCATTTTAATTATGTTGAAAGCTTGGGAACCCTAAAAAGGGCCTTTTTTGTGAATGACAGGGCTTCAAAATGCCATTTAGCCGCCGAAGCCGTAGAGGGTGCGGCCCTGGCACTTGAGCGCGTACACCACGTCCATGGCGGTGACCGTCGTGCCCTTGGCGTGCTCCCTGTAGGTCACGGCGTCCCGGATCAGGTTCTCCAGGAGAACCTTGAGCCACCCCGCGGGTCTCCTCGTAGATGAAGCCGGAGATGCGCTTTACGCCACCGCGGCGAGCCAGGCTCCAGATGGCGGGCTTGGTGATACCCTGGATGTTGTCGCGCAGCACCTTGCGGTGGCGCTTGACGCTACCTTTCCCGGCGCTTTCCCGCCTTTGCCGCGTCCTGACATTATCAAGTGGTCAGAGAATAAAGATCTGCCTGTCCTGGCAGCTTTCTTTTATGGGTGACCTCTGCGGACCAGACTGAAAACAGGAAAAGCTTTGGCGGGAAGTCCCTCTGCGTTGGGGGAGGGGGCCTAAAAGGGAAACAGGCCTGCTGTGCTCTACTTCCTTTTGTTCTTGCAGTCCTTTTTAATCCTCAAGACCCAGGTTATTTTTCTTCCTTTTTTCATTTAACATGATTCCTGCTTCATCCTCATTCGACAACAAAATGTTAACATTATAGAAGATACATAAAGCAAAAAGAGTAACATTTTATCTCTACATATATACGTGTTTTCTTTAACACTGTGTGAAACTATGCTATTTTGTGGCATTTTTCTCTTTAATATACTATGGAAACATACTCCATATTCTAAATTCTTAGCAATAGAACAAGATGGATTCATAAATTTAAAGATTGTTCAGCTATATTGCTAAGTTCTCTTCTACTTATTTTCATTTCCAGTGCTTAGGGGGGAGAATTTTACCCCCCCCCCACCCCGCCCCAAATACCAAGCTTGAAAATGCTGAGGGCTTTTGAAAATTGAAGATTCTTGGAAATAAGTCTAAGAATCAAGGTCATCTAACTTTGTCTTGTTTCTCTTACCCAAATGCAGGGAGGGACCTTTTCTGGAATTTCCTGATCTGATCAAGAAAGCTTCTTACCAAAAAAAAAAAAAAAAAAAAAAAAAAAGCACAATTGCTTTCTGTTACCTCATTATCTACTGCAGAAAAGAAGACTGAGGAATGCAACCACACCTGGATGGACTTTCCCACAAGATAAAGCTGGCCTCTTGGTCTCATTCAGATTCCAAAGAGAATCATTTATAAGTTAATTTCTGTCTCCCTGGTTCATTCCTTCTCGCTTGTAATCATTCACTGTTACTCAAATAATTGTGTACATTACCCATCTCCTCTTTTGCCTCTGAGAAAGGGTATAGAAGCTTCTGTACCCTGCCGAGGGGTTGGAGTAATCATTCTGTGGCCCCCAGCCCTGTACATTAATAAATTTGTATGCCTTTTCTCTTCTCTTATTAGTCTTCTCTTGTCAGCTGATTTGCCGTGAACTTTAAAAGGGAAAAAGGGAGGTTTTATCTGGGCCCCTATACCAACAGCAGTTCCCGATACGCCTGCAACCTTACTAATGCTGGGTAGAACCATTTTAAATAATCTAACCGTTCTGTTATCATTTGATTTCTTGTATGTAGAAATAGCTGTTCAAAAAGTGAATCAGCTGGTTAGTCAGTACAATATATTAAATATTTCCCCCACGATTTGAGGAACTCATATTGAATATTTCACTTGAAATTGTTTTTTGAGTTACTATTATTCCACTGATCAGACTATATAGTGCAGGAGTAGTATAACTATTTGTAACATTAGTATTTGATGTAATTCCTACTTAATTTTTTTTTTTTTTTTTTTTTCTCTGAGATGGAGTCTTGCTCTTGTCACCCAGGCTGGAGTGCAGTGGCGTCATCTTGGCTCACTGCCACCTCTGCCCCCCGGGTTCAAGAGATGCTTCTGCCTTAGCCTCCCAAGTAGGTGGGATTATAGGTGCCTTCCATTACACAGGCTAAGTTTTTTTTATTTTTAGTAGAGATGGGTTTTCATAATGTTGGCCAGGCTGGTCTCATAAACTCCTGACCTCAGGTGATCTGCCCATCTTGACATTCCAAAGTGCTGGGATTACAGACATTAGCCACTGCACCAGCTTTTTTTTTGTTTTGTTCTTAAGACAGGCTCTGTCACCCAGGTTGGACTGCAGTGATGCAATCTCACTGCAACTTCTGTCTTCCAGGTTCAAGCTGTTTTCGTGCCTCAGCCTCTGGAGTAGCTGGAAGTACAGGTGTATGCCATCATGTCCAGCCATTTTTTTTTGTATTTTTAGTAGAGAGAGGGTTTCGCCATTTTGGCCAGGCTGGTCTTGAACTCCTGACCTCGAGTGATCTGCCCACCTCAGCCTCCCAAAGTGCTAGGATTACAGGAGTGAGCCACTGCACCTGGCACCACTTCATACTTTTTTTTTTTTTTTTTTTCCCAAATTTCTGCTACCACTATTCTTGAAAATTACAAGTTACCCAGTTACAACCAAGAAATCTCTTACAACTTTGGTCAAAACTATGTTAGTTTTATATGTTTATTAAAGTTCTCCCAATCTGAAAAATATAAAATCTCTCTATCAAAAAAATGTTTAAAATTGCCCAAGTGCAATGGCTCACACCTGTAATCCCAGCACTTCGGGAGGCTGAAGTAGGAGCATCACTTGAGGTCAGGAGCTGAAGACCAGCCTGGACAACATGGTGAAACTCTGTACTAAAAAATACAAAAATTAGCCAGGTGTGGTGGCACACACCTGTAATTCCAACTACTCAGGAGTATGAGGGAAGCTGAGGCAGGAGAATCACTTGAACAGAAGAGGCAGAGGTTGCAGTGAGCTGAGACCACACCACTGCACTACAGCCTGGGCAACAGAGTGAGTCTGTGTAAAAAAATAAAAAGAATTTTCAGTAATGAACAAATAGAAAATTCAAATGCAAGAAAAGGAGTATACTTTTATCTTTGTAAGAAAACTTTCATTAAAAGCATATATACTTCAAATATTTTGGGTTACATAAATGGTATTTTAAAAAATACAGTACAGACCATTTCTTAAGCTCCAAGAAAACATAACTTCTTTCAGCACTGGCATGTAATCTTGTTATTCAGTGATTTTTCTTTCTACTCTTTATTTCAATGAGTTACTTGCAGCAATGCTTGAAGTATTTTCTAAGTGTTACACTTAAATGTCAGAAAAAATGAAGATAAACTTTTGATTAAAATACTTAAAAATTTTTTGTATTTATGTTGCAACAAAAACATGCCGTACATCTTTAGAAAACAAAATTGATTGGCTGTAACTGGCTGTAGTTGAACTCAGTATGTTGTAAAGAGGGTAAGATAGCATAGGTTAATTGAATATGCTAACCTAAGTAAATACAAATTAAAAATAAAAGGCTTAATTATCTGTTGAAAACAAGAGACTTCACTTTCAAAATTTCTCTCTCCTTTTAAAATGTATGTAATTGTTTTTCATGGCTAAATAGGCCTTAAAACTCAGAATATTTCCTCAAGGCCTGTAGAGCCATCTCTTTGAAATGTTTACTCATTAAAAAAGATAGTGCTCTGTCTCCCAGTTTCCAGCCAGGAAATGGGCCAAACTTTGGCTCTGACGTAACTTCAAATTGCAAAACCTACCCTATGTAGTTACATATAATAAAAAGAAATGCTTATTTCTTTCTGCTTTTGCAAACTCTTTATAAGATTGCCCATGATAAGCAACTCACTCTGGTTTAATGCTTATTCAATAGTAAAATTATTTCATTTCTCTTCATTTGGAGATTTTAAAATTATATTTCCACAACATTAGTTAACAAATACATTTCTTTACTTGAGCTTCTCACCAAACAGAAGCCTCCTTCTGTATCTGTTTCCATCAGTTTTGACATAGCAGTTAGTGACAAGGATAACAATGAATGGTAAATGGTGGCAGAATATGCTATCCCAAAATATGCCATTTTGGAATAAGAATTATTTTGAGATAAAGGCAATTTTAAAAAGTGTAGATACAAGAAAGACACTCTGACCCTTCCCTTTTACTTCCTGAAAACATGAATTAAAATTCCCATATGGAAGATGTCCTCCCTGTACCAAAAGAAAAAGAACATTTCATCAAGGACAGGAAGATGAAACCAAGAAAATTCTGTACAAGCGGATCTTGGTAAAATAATTGTTTTCCTTTAGCCTCCCTACATAGGTGCATTTCCACACTTTACTCTGTTGAACTTACTATATATTTTTTTTATTTTTATTTATTTATTTATTTATTTATTTTGAGACGGAGTTTCGCTCTTGTTACCCAGGCTGGAGTGCAATGGCGCGATCTCGGCTCACCGCAACCTCCGCCTCCTGGGTTCAGGCAATTCTCCTGCCTCAGCCTCCTAAGTAGCTGGGATTACAGGCACGTGCCACCATGCCCAGCTAATTTTTTTGGATTTTTAGTAGAGACGGGGTTTCACCATGTTTAACAGGATAGTCTCGATCTCTTGACCTCGTGATCCACCCGCCTCGGCCTCCCAAAGTGCTGGGATTACAGGTTTGAGCCACCGCGCCCGGCTGAACTAACTATATAAACACTTAGGTTTTGCAACTTCTTTGAGATATATGATTAGAGCTCTCATGTCCTATGTCACATAAAATATATATTAAATCAGTTTATATGCTTTTCTTCTGTTAATCTCTCTTATGTCAGTTTAATTATTAGGCCGAGCCATAAAAACTCTTGAGAGAGTAGAGGTAAAATTTTGCCTTCCCTACAACGGATATTTGAGAGTTTGTCAGATTCTGAAATTGAGGTAAATTTGTTCTGAAATTGATAGTAAACATACACACAGTATAACATTTTTTTTAATGTGATGTTAATCAGTCTCTTTTATTATTTCTTTTTTTGTTTGTTTGTTTTTGAGACAGTTTCGCTCTTGTTGCCCAGGCTGGAGTGCAATGGTGTGATCTCCCCTGAGGGCAACTTCTACCTCCCAGGTTTAAGGGATTCTCCTGCCTCAGCCTCCTGAGTAGCTGGCATTACAGGCATGAGCCACCACACCCAGCCTATTAGTCTTTTTTAACAGGGTAACCATCAAGATAAACTTAGTTAAAATCAAGTTACTCTGACTTCTCACATTCTTTCACATTACAAAACAAATCTGGCAGCAAACTTTATTATGCCAGAGGCGTTTAAAACAGAGCAACTCCTTGTTGAATAGAGGCTGGGTAAAATGGGCTGAGGCCTACTGGGCTGCATTTCCAGAAGGTAAGGAAATTTTAGTCACAGAATGAGATTCGCAAAGACCTTGCTAATGAAAGCATGAGGTAAAGAAGTCGGTGGGAACCTACCAAAATTAAGATGGTGAGGCAACTGACCTCTGGTTATCCTCACTGCTCATTATATGCTAATTATAATACATTAGCATGCTAAAAGACACTCCCACCAGTGCGACAGTTTACAGATTGACAGGGCAAGGCCGGAAGTTACCCTAGATGGTCTAAAAAGGGGAGGAACCCTCAGATGGTGAATTGCCCACCACTTTCCCAGGAAAACTCATGAAGAATCCGCCCCCTGTTTAGCATATAATCAAGAAATAACTATAAATATACTTAGAACAGAACAAAAGAACAGTTTTCTTTACTTCTCTAATAAACTGTGTTTCACAGTAGTCTATGGATTTGCCTCGAACTCTTTGTTGAGAGGGACTCAAGCACCCTATCTTGGGGTCTGGATTTGGATCCCTTCCACTAAGTTACCTTTGCAAAATACATCCTGTGTCCAACCACTGTACATTTAATTGTTAAATTTATTAAATATTAATTTAAATAAGTTGAGAGATCTATAAAGACAGAACAATTGAAAAATGAGTAAAACTTCCCTGCAACATGCATAAAGGAAAATTTTTTTAAATCAGTAAAATTATTATGGGTTACACAGTATAAAAATCCATCAAAAAGCCAAGTATTTTACTATTTTGGGGGGCCTCTCGAGGACCTATCTTTGCTGGATATTGTCAGCACTGTTTCTGTTCCAAACATCATATTTATACTAGGATTGGTAGTAGTTATATTTTAAGTACAAGAAATAGAAACAATACAAGAGTGTGAGATGTCAATAGGCTAAGTGCCAAAGAAATTCCAAATAGGAAGAGGAGGTTGCTAGAGAAAAGGAGCCGAAAAGAACTGGGGTAGGTCAATCAAATTTTAAGACAAAGAGTTTTTAACCTGAGGTCCATACTTATATGTCACAATGCCCCAAAGGATAAAATTCAGCAATTAGGGGGTGGTGAAGGGGAAGTCTGTGAGTTTGGGTAGTAAAATATCTATGTTTAAAAAATAAACCTTGACTGAATGTGAACATTTCATTTTCTTATTAATTTAGGCCACAAATTTCAGTACCTGTTACTTTGTAATCCAAAAGACACTAGATGTTTCATTCATCATTACAATTGCTATCTTGAAACATTTATACTCATCTAATTAGTAACAGCAATTAGCCTCACCAAATGACACAATGTGTCAACTATATTAACAACATAACTATAAGCTCATTTATCACTATCAAATTTTAAAAATACTTCGAATACTGTCATTTAACTTTGGCCTTTTATATACTGAAATCATCATTGAGATTTTCCATGTTACCAGACAGCAAAAGTGTCTGCAATACACAAGAATGAGTTAACGTCTTTTTCTTGAGATTACATCAGAGTTCAGTGAACCGAGGTAGGAGGCAAGATTGTGCAATCTCGGCATGGGTATTCCTTATTTCGCTACAACACCAAGTTATTTACAATATCACATTAAATAACCCTCCTCCACAGAAAACTGCCAGTCTCGCTAGGAGGTCTCAGTTTGTCAGAAGCCCCCAACACCCTGTACTTGTCTGATACTCATAAACAGACCTTTGTTGAACCATATTGCAATCTATATTGTTTCCCCCTATCTGTTGAGGCAGACATTTTAAGTCTGTATGCCAACACTTTACCTCAAATTTGATGGGTTTTAAGGTTTATTAGAAATAACTATCCTGTCAAGTTCTTCTAGCAACTTGGGATTTTAGACCTTTCTAAATATGAGAAATCTTTCTTAGGCTCCAGATAACGTCGTCCCAATATTTTACTTCATTGTAAAGGCATACTTTGCAACGTGCAGTTGGGTAAGAGAATGCTTGACATCTATCCATCAGGAAAGACGTGAGGCTCCGTATGTCACAAAGTTCTGCAGCCTTACTCTCCTGCAGCGGCGCCACCGCCGAGCTCTCGCAGGAACGGCAGCTTGCTCTGAGTTCTGGTGGCGCCGGGTCACCGTGCTGGGCACGTAGCGGCGGGGCTTCTTAACGCCGCCCTAGACCTGCGTGAAGCACCGGCCTGCTAAATTCTAGCCAGGGCGATAAGTCTTTTGTACCAAAGTGCTCCAAGAACTCGCAAAGCCACTGGTGCCCTGTGAACACATGCTAAGTTTGAAATTCAGTAGTAACTCTTGTGCGTGGCAGAACCCTGACCACCTTCCCTGCAGTCTTCCTTTTGAATCTGCGGTGTTCGCTACATTGTTTTCAAGAAGGGTGAGGACGAGTAACTTAGAACCAAAGTTTTACCATGTCTCACTTTTCTTTCACATGAAACATTAACAAATGTTAAGTTCTTTTAGAGAAGATGTGGGTGGCCCTGAAAAGAGCCTTTGGTTTGGACTCGATTTTATTCGAGTTGCCACAAACTAGTGCCGGTAGTTACTTGCCCTTGGCCTTGTGGTGGCTCTCGGTCTTCTTGGGCAGCAGCACGGCCTGGATGTTGGGCAGGACGCCGCCCTGCGCGATGGTGACCTTGCCCAGCAGCTTGTTGAGCTCCTCGTCGTTGCGGATGGCCAGCTGCAGGTGGCGCGGGATGATGCGGGTCTTCTTGTTGTCGCGGGCCGCGTTGCCCGCCAGCTCCAGGATCTCGGCCGTCAGGTACTCCAGCACCGCCGCCAGGTAGACCGGCGCGCCGGCCCCGACCCGCTCGGCGTAGTTGCCCTTGCGGAGCAGGCGGTGCACGCGGCCCACGGGGAACTGGAGCCCGGCCCGGGAGGAGCGGGTCTTGGCCTTGGCGCGGGCTTTGCCGCCCTGCTTTCCACGTCCAGACATGGCGACCACAAGCAGCTTACTGCCAGTAACTACGGAAAGAGAGCGAAAGGCGGCGCTTTTTATGAACACTATTGGGCGCGAAAAAGAAGACGAGTCATTCGTTAAGATTGCAGTTTAATTTCAACCAATGGCGGTGCGTCTTCTGGATTTGAGACTCCTGAGTGGGGAGAACTGACCTCTGACGTCACCCTAAATAATCACCAATCAGAAACAAGAATTTAACTCCACCTTATTTGCATGAAGGAGTCTATATAAAAACGCCGTGTCTTACCTGGCTCGTACTGTTTTTCCTTTCCTTGGGCGCTTTGTAGCTAGTCTGGGCGATGCCTGAGCCAGCGAAGTCCGCTCCCGCCCCGAAGAAGGGCTCCAAGAAGGCGGTGACCAAGGCGCAGAAGAAGGACGGCAAGAAGCGCAAGCGCAGCCGCAAGGAGAGCTATTCCATCTACGTGTACAAGGTGCTGAAGCAGGTGCACCCCGACACCGGCATCTCCTCCAAGGCCATGGGCATCATGAACTCCTTCGTCAACGACATCTTCGAGCGCATCGCGGGCGAGGCTTCCCGCCTGGCGCATTACAACAAGCGCTCGACCATCACCTCCAGGGAGATCCAGACGGCCGTGCGCCTGCTGCTGCCCGGGGAGCTGGCCAAGCACGCCGTGTCCGAGGGCACCAAGGCTGTCACCAAGTACACCAGCGCTAAATAGTGAGCTGGTTGCAAACTCAATCATAACGGCTCTTTTAAGAGCCACCTATCTTCTCAAAGAGAGAGCTGGTGCTTGTATTCTTCCTGTGCTGGCCCTTGCAACTCGCTATGGTGTTTCTTTTTATCTATTTTTTTAAGAGACGAAGTTTCACCATGTTGTCCAGGCTGGTCTCGAACTCCTGACCTCAAGTGATCTGCCCGCCTCGGCCTCCCAAAGTGCTGGGATTACAGGCACGAGCCACCATGCCCGGTGCTACTGTGTTTTAAGTCTGAAGTACAGCAGTTATTTAACAGGGTCGTTACTGAACAATCGTTAATGACCTTTCCTGCCAAAGTAAGCTGGAGATATATAACGACCACAAATGTGACATAATCTGACCCTGGTGAGACCCTGAACTTTTTATTGCCTAAGAATGTTCTATTTTCATCCCCTTATTTTCTATTATAAGTTCGAAGCAAATTAAAATACTTGCCGGTCACCCATTGGATAATGAGTTGGACTAGTGCCGAGTCGCAGTGGTTGTCATTTTGAATTTGCCCGGGCAGCGCCCGCCCTTCCTCTCTGCATCCTGACTGGTTGCTGCTGTATCCAGGAAGTCCATGGTTGGCTTGCGTGCGCCAGAGGAATCCAATCCTCGCCTTTATTTGGCCCTCTCTACGAACTCTGTACGTAATCTATCAGTTTCTCATTCTTAATGCTTTCAGGAAGGAGATTTATTTCCTCTTAATTTTAGTTGGATAGAACAAAATTTATTTTTTGTTTTTATTAATTTACTCATTTTTTTGAGATGGAACCTCGCTCTGGCCCAGACCGGGGTGCAGTGGCACGATCTCAGCCTCCTCCTCCCGGGTTCCAGCGATTCTCCTGCTTCAGCCTTCCAGAGAGCTGGGATTACAGGTATGCACCACCACATCTGGCTAATTTTTGTATTTTTAGTAGAGACGGAGTTTCACCATGTTGGCCAGGCTGGTCTCGGACTCCTGAAGTCTTGAATGCCATTGTTTACTTTTTCTGGAAGGAGAGTGACCTAAGATACTGATCTAAACTGAATGTGTATGGCTAATGGTTTGTATAGACAGAGATTTTAAGTAGGCAAAAGTGGAGGTTGTGTTGACAAAAAGTTTTGGGGAACAGTGATGTGGATGAATTTCCCAGAATGGTCCCAGATTATGAGAATGATGTCCCACGTGAATGCTAACCAAAATTCCCACTGTTCAGAGGAGGCTATCAACAATCAGATACGCATCAACCACATGGCTGTCACGTAGTCTCTTTTCCTATCACCCCACTTACTGCCCAAGTGATTTATTTGTAAACCATGTGACCAGGGTGGCAGGCAGTGGTAGAGGTCATACTTCAGCTCTGTAGTATAGACTTAGCTCACCAAGACTGACCTGGATACTGATGCTAAGTGTCCCATATGGCAGGGGAAGTATTCTTGCAAGTATTTTGTCATGAATGAGGCAGGGATTTGTCTTTACTGAGATAAACACTTGCTCTAGATTTGGGTATTGTTCACTTTCCTGCATGCTATAGCTAGCAGGACCATCTGTGAACTTACCGAACACTTTATACCTCATATCTCACATTTTCTTGGACCCATTTCTATACGTGATACAGAAAGGGAAAGGCAATGCATGGATGACCATGGGACTCAGTAGTCCTAATGCGTACCATATTTCTTATTAGCAGAAGTCTCAATTTTCGGAAGAGTCAGTTAAAATGAATTCAGTTCAGCACCCTCTTGGAGTGTCGCTCAATTTTGGATGTTGTATATGTGCTGAACAGTGACTAATAATAGGCATAATTTCTTCTGTAGCCAAAATACATTGGTTAAAGAAAGAAGTAGAAACGTAGTGGTGCTCTCTTATTACACTTAATAATGAGCTGAAAAAAGTTATGCTTTTCATGTTGGCAACTCAGGGCTCTCTGCTGTTTTTTGTTTTAGGAAAGGAGTACATATTCCCACCAGTAGTCACGGAGATGCCTCTTTTCATCGATTTACCAAAAATGATGTATTTTTATATGAAGTTTAAAGCAATTTAAATTACATTCATTTGGTGGCTTAGAGAACTGTGGGAAGTCTTGACTTAGCAGATGTTGGGCCTTTGGACTCTCCTCTGTTGGCCAGTTTTCTTTTTGTTTCTGTTCTCCCCCTCCCGCCCCCCGCTTTTTGTCCCCTGTCTGTCTCAGTCTACCACTTTTTAGGGTTATAGGCAAGGAGCTGTGACAGACAACTTGAGGGTTTTTAAAAATACTCTCTAAAACATATACCTTAGGTCAGGTGTGGTGGCTTACACCTATAATCCCAGCACTTGGAGAGGCTGAGGCAGATGGATCACCTGAGGTCAGGAGTTTGAGACCAGGAGTTCGAGGCCAACATGGTGAAACCCGGTCTTTACTAAAAATACAAAAATTAGCTGGGTGTGGTGGTGTGTACCAGCTACTCAGGAGGCTGAGGCAGGAGAATCAGTTGAACTCAGAAGGCGGAGGTTACAATGAGCTGAGATCATGCCACTGTACTCCAACGTGGGTAATAGAGCGAGACTCTGTCAAAAAAAAAACCAAATACACATTGAAAGCTGGTCAGCTAAACTGTCTCAGAAATCTTTAAATACGGTTTCAACTATACTAATATAAATCATGATAACATTGGTAAATACACAAATAAGGTTTTACTAACTGACTTGTGGACAACTGTCCTGTCTACATTTATTTCCTCCTTTGGTCTTGTGTATATTGAACCTAACCACCTCCTCCTCCTCCCACTCCCACCCATCTCTTAGCATTTTACATACAATGTGTTGGTGGCACAGTAACTTACAAGTTGCAGAATATATAGATGGCCTGACAATGGAGCAAGACTAGGAGCTATTTTGAGAGTTTGTGTGCTATCTCTTTAGACAGAATTAGTTCATATTTAATTATATGGCTAAGATGTGTATCCTGTTAGGTGAGAAAATACTCATTATCATGAAAAAGTACTATGCGGAAATGTTATTAAATATATGTGCCTTTTACCTTGTTGCACTCCTGAAAGCAAGATGGGTCACCAGCAGCTATACTGGAGCCACCCATGACAATTGGGCCAGGGTTCTTACTCTTGTCTTGTCTGTTCAAACCAGCACGGTCTCATCTGGAAATGAGGCCTCAATACATGCCTCCAGTGTTTGCGTCAGAATGTGAAGGATTCAAGTTGGACTGAATGATCTTCCTTCAAAGGATTATCCAAGGCATCTACCATGAAAAGCCGTGATAGTTCTTTGCACATAAAATAAACATTTAAAAATATATATATGATACAGCCACATAATAGCTACAGTAAATATAATAGACCTAGAAAAAAAATCTAGTGATTCAAGACTCCTATATTTAAAAGTTATTAAATGAAAAGATATATGTGTCCCTGAGAAGAAAGATTGAATATCATAAAGATGTCAATTCTTCTAAAATTGCGATGATTATTCAAGGTAATTCTAATAGAAATTTTAACAGGTTACTGTTGGGAACTTGGAAATTAATTTTAACATGTATTTGAAGATCAAAGTGGCAGAATATTGAAGAAAATCCTGGTAAGATCTGTCACTTATTTAGGATTTTTTTTTTTTTGACACGGAGTTTTGCTCTTGTTGCCCACGCAATGGTGTGATCTCAGTTCACTGCAACTTCCCAGTTTGAAGCGATTCTGCCTCAGCCTTCCAAGTAGCTGGGATTGCAGGCCTGTGCCACCACGCCTGGCTAATTTTGTACCTTTCGTAGAGACAGGGTTTCTCCACGAGACCAGGTCAGGCTGGTCTCCAACTCTGACCTCAGGTGATCCGCCTGCCTTGGCCTCCCAAAATTCTGGGATTACAGGCATCAGCCACCATGCCTGGCTTATTTAGTAATTTCAAAACACTCACATAGTAATGATACTGGGAGATACTGCATAGAGATAGATGCATTTACCAACTTTAGATAGAGAGCCAAAGATTAGATCTAATTTTTGTTTAGAAATTTATAAATGAGAGAGGTGGGATTTCAGAGCAGAAAAAAAAAAAAAGATAGACTGTTGAAAATTTTGTCATGACAATTGGTTATCCACAAGAGGGAAAAAGGTTCCTAAATGTAAAAGAAAAACCATTAAGTCTTTTCAGAAGGTAAGAAAGGAAAGTATGATCTGGTTGTAAGGATGGATTTCTTAAACGAGAAACAAAAGGCACAAAACATGAAGAAAAAGAGTGTTACCTTAGACTTCAATAGAAGAGCATTTTCTTTTTTTAAAAAAAAAAAAAAAAAAAGACTTTTTAAAAGCCTTCTTTGTTCTTAATCAGGGAAGGAGCAAATATTAGTAAATGTCCATCTAAAGAAAAGGGTTGAAAAGTTTCACTCTACTAAAATCTGACCTAATCCTAGGTCAGTCATCAGAGCTCTTCCCGGCTAACTGTATGGGTTATACTTTCTCCTGTGTCTTCTGGGCGTCCCAGAGTGGACACTAGAACTATGAGTCTGGAGGTCCTAGGAGCTGCTACAGCAGAACTGTCCCTGAAGGTGAAGGGAAAACGAACTGTTTCTTTTCAGCAGTTGGTTGTTCTCTAACATTCTTGCAGTTATTTACCAGTAAATAAAACCGGAACAGGAATGTAGGGAAAGATCAGCAACATAAATCAACCTGCCACCAGATGTTTTTCCAGGAAGAGAACTTTCTGGAATAATAAATATGTGATCCTCTAGCCTGAGAAAATCATCAGTGCAGGAAGCAATCCATCTGCAACTTGCACAAAATGTGCCTTCATTTGCTACATCTGTACCTTCATTCAAATATGTAGTATCCAGAGAGAAATCAATATAATTATACCTATTTCCATTACAAATACCATGGGCAGACTAATTAGAGTATACCATGAAAAAGAAAAAAATCATCCCAGCAAAAAGAAGTACCAGATTTGGTTGTTTTTCTCAGAACTGACGGCAGGAATTCCAACCACACTTTGCTCTCTGGGGAGCTAGTGTGTGCCCTT